AACATCCATGATGAGAGGGAATCATTGATTGCCTGCCTCTTGCACGTCCCTCACTGGGGATCAAGCCCGCAACCTAGGCCTGTGCCCTGGACTAGAATCGAACCTGGGACACTTTAGTTCACAGGCTGACACTCTATCCACTGAGCCAAACCATCTATTGTTTTCTTAATATCTTTCTGATATTTTATTATTGGTGTATAAAAATGCCACTGATGGGAGATCTTGGACCAGTATGTGTTGACTGTGCCTGCTCTGCTGCGCTCACAAAGAGGATGTGAAAAATGAGACCCTCGAGGATATAAAAAATGATATCCTTCATTCTTCTTGATTGCCTTTTACTTAGGAATAGCTTCAGCTTCTCCAAAAGTTGATGGAAGTTTAGAGGCACAATGGCACCAATGGAAGGCAACACACAGTAAGCTACCTGGCTCGAATGAAGAAGGATGAAGGATAACAGTGTGGGAGAAGAATATGAAAATGATTGACCTACACAACCAGGAATACAGCCTAGGAGACAGAGCTTCACCTTGGCAATGAATACTTTGGTGACATGACCAACAAAGAATTCATGTAGGTGATAAATGGTCATCAAAACCAGAAGCACAAGAAAAGGAGAATCCTCCCAAATGTAGATTGGAGAGAAGAAGACCTTGTAACTGCCATGAAGAACGAGGGTCACTGTGGTTCTTGTTGGGCAGTTAGTGCAACTAATACCCTTGACAGATATTTTGGAAAACTGGATTTTATCAATTGTTTTTTCTGCATTTAAAGATATGATCAGCCGAAACCGGTTTGGCTCAGTGGTAGAGCGTCCGTCTGTGGACTGAAAGGTCCCAGGTTCGATTCCGGTCAAGGGCATGTACATTGGTTGCGGGCACATCCCCGGTAAGGGGTGTGCAAGAGGCAGCTAGTCGATGTTTCTCTCTCGTCGACGTTTCTAGCTAGCTCTCTATCTCTCTCCCTTCCTCTCTGTAACAAATCAATAAAATATATTTAAAAAAAAGAAAAAAAAGATATGATCATGTACAGGCCCCAGTGGCCTAATGGATAAGGCACTGGCCTCCCCAAAGATATGATCATGTGATTTTTGTCCTTCATTTTGTTTATGTGATGTATTACATTTGTTGATTTATGAATATTATATTAATCTTGCATCCCCAGAATAAATTCTATTAGATATGGTGTATAATCCTTTTAATGTATCTTATTTTTTTTTTCTTTTTTTTTTTTTTTAATATATTTTATTGATTTTTGTACAGAGTGGAAGGGAGAGAGATAGAGAGTTCGAAACATCAATGAGAGAGAGTCATTGATCAGTTGCCTCTTGCACACCCCCTACTGGGGATATGCCCGCAACCAAGATACATGCCCTTGACTGGAATCGAACCCGGGGCCCTTCAGTCCCCAAGCCGACGCTCTATCCATTGAGCCAAACCGGTCCCGGCTTAATGTATCTTATTGAGTGAGCAGAACCTTGTGGACTGCTCTCAGGCTCAGGGCAATGAGGGCTGCAATGGTGGCCTAATGGATAATGTCTTCCAGTATGTTAGATTCAATGGAGGGCTGGACTCAGAGGAGTCCTATTCATATCATGCAAAGGTTGGAATCTGTAAATAAAGGCCTGAGGATTCTATTGCCAATGACTGGCTTCGTGGACTTCCCTGAGCAGGAGAGTGCCCTCATGAAGGCAGTGGCAACTGTGGTTGCTAAAGATGCAAGCCATCTTAGCTTCTGGTTCTATGAAGATGGCATTTATTATGAGCGGCACTGATGGAAGGCAATCAAGTAACAATAAATACTGGTTTGCCAAGAACAGCTGGGGTAAAGCTTGGGGCAAGAATGGCTACATAAAGGCCAAAGACCGGAACAACCACTGTGGAATCGCCACTGTAGCCAGCTATCGTACTGTGTGAGATGATGGTGATAAAGAAAGACTTGATTGAGAACAGGGTATCATTGATTTTGTACAGAGAGAAAGGGAGAGAGAGAGAGAGAGTTAGAAACATCCATGAGAGAGAGTCATCGATCAGCTGCCTCTTGCACACCCCTTACTGGGGATGTGCCCGCAACCAAGGTACATGCCCTTGACCGGAATCGAACCCAGGACCTTTCAGTCCCCAAGCCGACGCTCTATCCATTGAGCCAAACTGGTTTCGGCCAGAGGAGGAATTTTTATCTTAAAACTGACTGCATTTTACTTAATGGAATACAACACTTGAATCTTGAAGATGTGAACTGTGATTTGAATTCTGTGATGTTTTACATTGATAAAATGTTACCACTTCTTTTATAAGGATATATAAATTGTTAACTTTTAAAATAAAAATTTTTATTATTTTAATACTCAAAAAAGCCACCGTTTCCTGAATATTAGTTTTGTATCCTGCTACTTGCCAAATTCATTTATTAGATCTACAGTTTTTTAGTGGACTCTTTAGGGTTTTCTATGTATAATGTTATGTCATCTGCAAACAATGACAGTTTTACTTCTTTCAAATTTGGGTGTCTTTTGTTTCTTATCTGACTGCTGTAGCTAATTCTTCCAGTGCTATGTTGAATAAGAGTGGTGAAAGTGGACATCTCTGTCTTGTTCCTGATCTTAAGGGAAATGCTTTTAGATTTTGCCCATTGAGTATGACCTAGGCTTTGGATTTGTCATAGGTGATGGCCTTCATTATATTGAGGGTATATTCTCTCTATTACCAATTTGCTAAGAGTTTTTATCAAAATGGTTGCTGGATTTTATCAATTTTTCCCCCTGCATCTAATGATAGGATCATGTGATTTTTGTCCTTCATTTTGTTTATGTGATGTATTACATTTATTGATTTGTGAATATTATACCAATCTTGCATGCCCAGAATAAATTCTACTAGGTATGGTGTATAATCCTTTTGATGTATTTCTAGATTTGGTTTGCTAATATTTTGTTTAGGATTTTAGCATCTGTGTTCCTCGGGGATATTGGCTACATAGTTTTCTTTCTTTGTAGTATTTTTATCTGGTTTTAGAATTAGGATAATGCTGACCTCATAAAAGATCTTGGGCCCTAGCCAGTTTGGCTTGGTGGATAGAGCATTGGCCTGTGGATTGAAGGGTCCCAGGTTTGATTCTGGTCACGGGCAACTAACTTGGTTGCAGGCACATCCCCAGTAGGGGGTGTGCAGGAGGTAGCTGATTGATGTTTTTCTCTCATCAGTGTTTCTAACTCTCTCTCTCCCTTCCTCTCTGTAAAACATCAATAGAATATATTTTTTAAATATATATAGAGATAGAAACATCAATGCACACCTCCCACTGCGACCGAGCCCACAACCTGGGCATGTGCCCTTGACCAGAATTGAACCCAGTACCTTTCAGTCTGCAAGTTGACTATCTACTGAACCAAACCAGCTAGTGCAATAATTTGTTTTTTAAAAATTATTCCTAAGTATTCCACAAAAGGGACACAAAAATAAAAAAATAAAAACTAAAAGGATATTAACTTAGCCTGATAGGTGTTGCTCAGTGATTGAGTATCAATTTATGAACGAGGAGTCACGGTTTAATTCCCGATCAGGGTACATACCTGACTTGTGGGCTCAGTCCCCAATAGGGGGCGTGCAGAAGGCAGATGTTTCTGACTTTCTGTAGTCCTTCCTCTCTATAAAAAAATCATTAAAATATATTTTTTAAAAAGATCTTGGAAGTCTATCCTCCTTTTGAATTTTTTGGAATAATTTGAGAAAGGTGTTCTTTTTAAATATATATATATTAATTGATTTCATAGAGGAAGGGAGAGGAAGAGAGAGAGACAGAGACAGAGACAGAGAGAGAGAGAGAGAGAGAGGGAGAATATCATCCTGCATGCCCCCTACTGGGGATCAAGCCCACAACCCGGGCATGTGCCCTGGCCAGGAATTGAACTGTGACCTCCTGGGGGCGTGCAGAAGGCAGCTGATGGATGATTCTCTCTCATTATGATGTTTCTATTTCTCTCCGTTTTCCTTTCTGAAATCAATTAAAAAATATATTTTAAAAAATATACTAAGGTTTTTTTGAAAGCATATACCTTAGTTTGTGGATAATGAAATTTATTTTTAAGTTTATTATTGTTGAAAGTATTACAGATGTTGCCTTTTTTCACCCCAATTGTTCCCCGCCAACCTACCCCTGCCCCCTCAGATCTTCACCACATTATTGTCTATGACAATGGTTTATGCATAGATCATGTACTTTTATTTATTTTTATTTTTTAAAACATTTACCATTTATTGAGTGCTCATTGTATATCAGAGGATAATCTAATTGCTCTATATTATCTCATTATTTAATCCTGGCTCAACCTCTTAATTTTTTAAAGATGGAAAACTGTTACACTGATTGTTTCTCTAATGAAGATAGTCTGTCTCTAACATTGTCTTTAACAACTTAAAGTAGCAAAGAGAATGCTCAGGCTGTACTATGTCTCTTGTCCTCACTTTTATTCTTTTTGCTCCAGTTCTCTAAATCATTTCTAAATCTTATACTTCGTGGCATGTTTACAAGGGATGAAAATACTCTGCCAGTGTATCTATTCTCTTGTAAATGGAATACGTCACACATATGTACAAATGTAAATGAAAAAAGGGAGCAGCTGTTGAAGGTGATGTGAGGTATATAACAGTGAGCTTATGGTATAGATTTGGATTAATGTTAGTAATTGTTCATTGTAGGGCAAAGAGAAATGGGTATAAATTGTAAGGTACTGTTTCAAAGAAGTATAGTGGGAATTTCCATTGTGACATGAAATTTTTTCTGTATTTTGATGTTCTCATCCTTTTAACTTCTGCTTTTGCATTAGAAGGCAGTGCCTATTGTGAACTTTATAATGAATGATCTTTCCATAGACAAGATTTCTTTTGACATTTTATAAAAAAGTTTTGATAACGGGACAATAATAGTATTCCATTTTTCACTACTTACCTCCATTCTATAGCCGTGCAGTCAGAGACCCTTGTGCATGAAGACAGATTTGTTCTATGGCCTCGGAGTTGGGTGCCGGGGACGATGGCGGCTGCACTGAGCTGGCAAAGCCCCTCTATCTTCAGTACCTGGAGAGGGCCCTCCGGTTGGACCATTTCCTGCGGCAGACATCAGCCATCTTCAACAGGAATATTTCCAGGTATGTTAGTCCGTCCATTTTCCCACTATGATATTTAGTCATGTTTCTGATTCCCATTTTCACTGTAGATTTTAGGGTTAAAATAATTCATGATTTTTAGCATGTTTGGTATATTTCCTTTCAAATAAAACTGAACTTTTTCAAATGACCAATTTTTTCTAAAAAATGTTCAGTCTACTAACCATAAATTAAAATATTTTGCTGGGTCAGCCCTGATTGTGGATTCACCATTCTTTAATTTCTAGTGATGAAAGTGAAGATGGACTGGATGACAGTAATCCTTTATTGCCCCAGTCTGGGGATCCCTTAATACAAGTTAAGGAAGAACCTCCAAATTCATTGCTTGGTGAAACTTCTGGAGCAAGCAGTTCTGGAATGTTAAACACGTACTCATTGAATGGAGTTCTACAGTCAGGTCAGTGTGGTGTGAGATTCCTCTTTGGACTCTCAGTTCTTTTGGTGTAGTCATCTTTCATTTTATTATTCTTTATGTTTCTTTACACAGAATCAAAATCTGACAAAGGGAATTTATATAATTTCTCTAAGTTGAAGAAAAGCAGGAAGTGGCTAAAGGTAAGAGAAGACAGAATGTTTAGAATTCAAGTAACCTGTTAACAATAAGTAGAAGGGAAAGGTTTTGATGCATTCTGGCACATTGGCAGAAATTTTTTATAGACATGCGTCTTTTTTGAAGACATTATAGAGAAGGATCTAGAAGACACAATGAAGTTTGTTTTAGTAAACATGGTTGAGTACAAATATCTATATTTATAAGAGGCTAATATGCAAAGTGTTCCCTTGGGAGTTTAAACGGGAGAATGGGAGTTCAATCGCTTGCTGTGATGTGTGCTGACCACCAGGGGGCAGATGCTTTGACTGGTAGGTTAGCTTGCTGCTGGGGTCTGGCCAGTTGGGACTGAGTGAGATGGGCTAAACATGCCCTGGAGACCTCCTATGATCCCTCCCTGGCTGGCCAACCTCCCGTATTCCTCCCCTACCCCTAGCGTGGGTAGGTGGGTGGGTGGGAGGTAATCAACCAAACACTATCCTTATATAATAAAAGGCTACTATGCAAACAGACTGAACAGCAGAATGACCAGTTACTATGATGCACACTGACCACCAGGGGGCAGGCGCTCAACATAGGAGCTGCCGCCTGGTGGTCATTGCACTCCCAAAAGGGGAGCTCAGTTCAGCCAGAAGCCCGGCTCATGGCTGGTGAGTACAGCCATGGAGGTGGGAGTCTCTCCCAGCTCCGTGGCAGCACTAAGGATGTCTAACTGCTGTCAGGCGAACATCCCCCACGGGCTCCTGGGCTGCCAGAGGGTGCAGGCCAGGCTGAGGGACCCTCCCCCAAGAGCATGAATTTGTTGCACCAGGCCTCTAATCTTAAATAAGATTCTTGCCCTCACTGGCTCACATTGTAATCGGGACATTTAATCTACTTTTCATCTGTCTTTGAGTAATTTATTCACTCACCAAGTGTTAAGTGCATCCTACGTGCCAGATACTATGGTTCATAGACATGATTCCTGCCCTGTGGAGCTTACATTCTAATGGAGGGAGGCAGTGAGTAAGCCTGTAAACAAACAAACAAATAAAAATGGATTTAAAGAAGTAACATTTTAACGATTTCTCAATGATCAGAGAGAACTATGTGAAGGTTTAAGATGTGAGCATTTCAATCAGAAGGAATAACTGCAAAAGTTCTGAGAAAGAAAGCAACTCAGTATGTTTGAGAGAGAATGAAAACTCCTATACCTGGAGGACAGTGAATGAGGGGATGGTAGAAGATGACGTTAGAGAACCTGATCACTTAGGGCCTTTGTACACCATGTCAAGGAATTTGTATTTTACTCTAGTTATAGTAGTAAGTTATTGGAGTATTTATAAGCAAGAGTGTGGCACAGTATGGTTAAGACGCTTACAAGATTACTGTCATTGGCCAAACTGAGTTAAGGATAGCATTTCTCTATTGAAACTAATTTTTCTCTATTTCGTACTTTTCTTGTGAAGAATGGAAAGTAACTTAAAAGAATTATTTTGTTATCAATAGAAGAATGGAAAGTAACTTAAAGTTATTCTTTTATTATTATCAATAGGCCCTTTTAGAAACTCAAGTGCAAAAGTCCAGATTTATTTCAGATCAGTGAGGCTTTAAGCTGTTGGGAATGCAGAAATCTTTGTTTAGCTACCACATTTTTAAAAAATATATTTTTATTGATTTTTGAGAGGAAGGGAGAGGGAGAGAAAGATAGAAACATCAGTGATGAGAGAGAATCATTGATTGGCTGCCTCCTGCACGCCCTCTACTAGGGATCGAGCCCACAGCCCATGCATGTGCCCTGGACTGGAATCAAACCTGGGACCGTTCAGTCCAACTGGATAGGGCTAGCCATCACATTTTTAAAAATCAAAATAAATTCTCATGCTATAAAATCTACTCCTTTAAAGTGTATGATGTAGTGGTTTCTGGTATATTTATAAAGTTTTGTGCATCACTGTCTAATAACAAATTTTATTTTTTATATTTTTATTGATTTTCCAAAGAGAGGAAAGGAGAGAGACAGAGAGTTAGTATATGTGCTGCCGAAGCGAGCACAAGAGAGACAGAGAGTTAGAAACATCGATGAGAGAGAAACATTGACCAGCTGCCTCCTGCACACCCCTACTAGGGATGTGCCCACAACCAATGTACATGCCCTTGACCAGAATCGAACCTGGGACCCTTGAGTCCACAGACCGACACTCTATCCACTGAGCCAAATCGGTTTTGGCAATAACAAAATATTTTCATCACTCCAAAAAGAAACTTCTATATTCATTAGCATTTTATCCCCATTCTCTACATCATCAGCCTCAGGCAACCACTAATCCATTTTCTGTCTATATGGATTTGCCTCTTCGGGACATTTTATATAAACAGAATCATATAATGTGTTGCCTTTTGTGTCTGGCTTCTTTCACTTAGCATAACATTTTCAAACTTCCTGTTGTGGCACATATCAGTACTTTATTCCTTTTTATTGATGAATAATATTTGATGATCTGTATAATACCACATTTTGATTATCCATTCATGAATGAATTTGGGCATTGTTTCTTTATTAGCCATCACAGCTTGCTTTCTATATTCTTTTATATCCTACTTGAGGCTTGGTGCATGGATTTGTGCACCGGTGGGGTCCCTTGGCCTGGCCTGCAGGGATGGGGCCGTAACCACCAGAGGGTCCTGGATTGTGAGAGGCTGGTTCTTGATGCACCCCGGAATCAGGCTCCCTCCTTTCTTTTCCCAATATTATGTCTCTTTCTGTATCTGTTTCCTATATTTCATCTCACTTTACCCTACGATTGAAGGTAACTGGCTACTTGGGGGCATTTAGCTTCAAAATGCAATTATTTAGCAAACAGGATTTACTAAATCTGAAATCTAGTCAGCCTAAGGCAGGACCCTGCTCAATGTCAGGCTTCCCCGGCCAGGCCCTTCCCCCCAAGTGGAGTCCTGTGGCAGTAGGAACCTCCTTACCACTTGACCTGCTCCTTTGCCTCCTTTTCCCCCTAGAGGTTGCCTGCTGGTGCTACTGTCCACCAGGAAGGATGGAAGCCGCAGCCGGTTTCCCAGCTGAGACTGGTAGTGGGAAAATTCACTGCTTCCACTGGAAATCGATATTAAGTGGGTGGGTCAGCATTGGCTGTAGATGTCTGGGCCACAGCCAGTAGGTCCTGCACATCTCATCATTTAGCTAATCGAGTTGAAAAGTTTCTGTAAGAGCCAGACCCACGACCTCTGCAATCGGCTGGAGGCCTGGTGGAGAGCCAGACCTGAAGTGGGGAGCCAATAGGCTAGAGGCCCGGTGCACGGATATGTGCATTGGTGGGGTCCCTTGGTCTGGCCTGTGGGGATTTGGCTGAAACCGGCTTTCTGACATCTCCCAAGGGGTCCCAGATTACGAGAAGGTGGTTCTCGGGTGATATACCCCGGAATTGAGCTCCCTCCTCTCTGGTTCTGGGTTACCCAAGAACTGCAGCTGCAAAGTCACCACAGCTCTGCAGCTCCTGAATTGTCTGCCCTGTGGTGGTCAGTGCCCATTATAGTTACTGGTTGGCCAGTCGCTTAGGCTTTTATATATATAGATAGCTTTTTTTGTTTGTTTGTTTTGGTATTTGACATTTAGTTAAACTATCATATATATAGTGTAAGTAGTTAGTAAAATCTAGCTTTGTTGACGTTTATAGCATTTCCCATGTTTTAGTGCTCTTTAATTTGTGTGTACTGGAGGTAATGGGTATTCTTTTGTTTTTCAGTTGAATTGGGAAAGAATAGTATAAGGGAAACTGGACTGACTGCCCTCCAGCTATTTTTGTCATTGTTTTGGGATCTGGAAAAAAATGCTTTTATTGTCTTGGGATGGTGAACACACAGTACAATATATACAGATGATATATTACAGAATTGTACACTTGAAATCTATATAATTTTATTAACCAATGTCACCCCAATAAATTCAATTAAAAATTATTGTATTGTAAAAGGAATTGTTTCAAATAGAAGTTCCATTTCCTCCCTTTTTCAGAATATTCTGCTAAGTGATGAATCCAGTGAGGCAGATTCTCAGAGTGAAGAGAATGATGAAGAAGAGGAAGAAGAGGAAGAGGAAGAGGAGGAGGAAGAACTCAATCTCAACAGAGAAGAACTTCATAACATGCTGCGGCTGCACAAATATAAGAAACTTCACCAGAATAAATATAGTAAAGACAAGGAGGTAAGAGTTTCAGGAGACATTACAGACCTTCATACAGGCTATTTACCCTCTGGGTTATATTCATTGAAAATACATCATTTTTTTTTTTTTAACTCAAAATACCTTTAATTTAAAAATATTCCGCTTCAATACCAACTCAAATCCAGATGTGTTTTAATCTCCCTGCCTGCTGACTTCAGAGTACACAGCCTGTCAAGGATAGGGCCACTGTGAGAGGAGCATGGAGAATGGAAGATGGAAGTGGGGGCTTACCTGAAGACTCAGACCCAGGTCCCATTTGTGGGGATCCAGCTTGGAGTGCTTGCGGGGGATGGGAAAGAACCTTGATTGCTGGTTGACTCACTGGCCTCTACTTAGCATCCTGTCCTCTTGAGGAACCACTACACAGGATCCCAGGTGGGGCTCAGTGTCAGTGTGAGGCCACAGGGACCTTCGGCCCAGGGAAGGCAAGCACACAGCCTGCCTTAGGCTCCAGAGGAGCCGCAGGTAGATTTCCAGGGTTGAGCAGATCACAGCAGGGGAAACCGCCAGCAGTTCAGTTGCCTGGGTTAGGTGGCTACAGTCCATTTGCTGCTCCCAGAGTCTGCTGGGTGGTAGGATGGCTGCTGTACCAGCCGGTAGGTGATGATTCTGCCTGTGGTTTTGCTTGTGCAGATGGTCTTCACTACCTGCCCTTGCTTTATCTCAGAGTAGTGCACCACAGGGTCTCCAGCCTGGATCCTGGGCAGCTGGTTTTCTCGGAGTTTATATCTGTCCAGCACATCTGTCATCTCCTCCTTGGTCATGTTGATATGCTCTGGGACCAGCTTGTGCTCCATGATGCTGATGAGCAGCTCCTGCTGCAAAAACTGTTCCAGGATGTACTTGGGAGCCATGTCGATCAGGAACTGCTTGGCAGAGGGTGTTCTGCCCTGCTGCACTACAGTGAGGACTGGGCGATGTTTTCCTCCTGTATGTGTTGGCAGTACACCTTGATGGTCCTGATTCCTACCTTGGGCTCCTCTGGGAAAAAGACAAACATCTGGTCAGTGGGGTCATCATTGTGGGCCACTAGCAGTGTCAGGTTTGTGCGCTCTGGCCATCCTTTACTTGGCTTGTCCCCAAACTGGGCCTTGAACTCCTAGTGTCTGGTTCAGCTCATCCTGAATCACCAGGTAGCCTCGGGCAGGCACAGCTGCATCATTGCCTTGCAAATCTTCCACAGCCAGTATGTCTCCTTCTTGTCATCCATACCTACTGCTGCTCATACTCACTGTACCTGTGCTGGCCAGGGACCCCACCAGTGCACAATTGGAGCAAGAGAAGGTCTGCAGGAGGGCTCCAAGGTGTGTCCAGCCTGTCTTGCCCAGTCTCGATCGGCTGGATCCACCAGCAAGCTAACCTACTGGTCGGAGCGTCTGCCCCCTGGTGGTCAGTACTCATCATAGCGACTGATCGAACAGTTGAACGAATGGCCATTTATTATACTAGGCTTTTATTATATAGGGTGGTGATGGTTACAATACCTTTATTGAAATATATTTCACACACTAAAAAAATTTATGTTCATACAAGGTACACAATTCAGTGATTTTTAGTATATTCATAGAGTTGTGTAATTATTATCACTAATTTAGATTATTTTCTCACTCTGAAATGACTCTGCTACCCTTAGCTGTTGCCCTCCCCCTATTCTCTCCATTCCTCTCAGTCATCAGTTTACCACTTGTCTCTATAAATGTGTATATTCTAGATATTTCATACAAGTGGAAAACATGTGTCCTTTGTATTCAGCTTCTCTCACTTAGCATAATGTTTTCAAATTTTATGCTGTAGCATAAATCCATACTTTGCTTCTTTTTATTGCAAATATTCCATTGTATGGACATACTGTATTTTATTTGCATCAGTTGATGAACTGGATTTTTTAAAATACTTTTTGGCTATCATGAATCATACCTATGAATAGTGAGTTGTTTCCACTTTAAGCTGATATGAGTAGACCTGCCATGAACATTTGAGTTCAAGTTTTTGGTATGGTCATGTATTTTCATTTCTCTAGGGTACATATCTAGGAATCACTGGGTCATATGGTAATTTATGTTTACCCTTTTAAGGAACTGCCAGATTATTTTCCAAAGTGGCTATACCATTTTGAATTTATTCGGTATTTGTTTGTTTGTTTTAAATACATTTGCTCTTTAGAAGTGTTCCCATCTTGAAAAAAACTATTTTCTTCATATACTAACATTAGATTGATACAGTTTTGTTTTTTAAACATATTTTTATTGATTTTAGAGAGGAAGAAAAGAGAGAGAGAAACAGAGAAACATCAATGATGAGAGAGAGTCATTGATTGCCTCTTGAATGCCCCACACTGGGGTTTGAGCCTGTAACCCAGGCATGTGTCCTGACTGGGAATTGAATCGTGACCTCCTGATTCATAGGTCAATGCTCAACCACTGAGCTGTGCTAACCAGGCAAAGCCTTCTGATTTTTGACAGAAGTGTAACACTTTGTACATAATGGGTAGTAGCATATTTGGATATCTAAAAACTTTACATCAGTTAGTTAAGGTCCACAGTTAGTTCAGAAAACTTTGGATAATATGCTAAAGGCAATAAGCCTGTAGAAGTGATAAACGGTAAGATATCTGACTGTTTTAATTAGGATGAAGAGTTCCTCCTTAAGGTACAATGTTAATGCACTTGGTACTTGAAATATTTGTGGTTTATTATTATTTTAAATACATTTTTATTGATTTCAGAGAGGAAGGGAGAGGGAGAGAGAGATGGAACCATCAATGATGAGAGAGAACCATTGATAGGCTGCCTCCTGTTTGCCCCCACTGTGGATGGAGCCCACAACCCTGGCATGTGCCCTTGACCAGGATTGAGCCCATGAACGTTCAATGTGCAGGCTTACACTCTATCCACGGAGCCAAACCATGTGTGGTTTTTTGAATTGAAATAAAACATACATACGGAAATATTCATAGGTTTTAAGTATATAGCTTGATGAATGTTCATTTAATTTTGACCTTTGGTGACCTTGTAATAGTTTTCCATGTCACTCTTCTATTCTATTTTCATTTCTTGGAAAACTCATTTGGCCACAATCCAGGAAAATAGATTTGACATTGGACTACATATTTTAATTCATATTTATCCATTAGTAATAATTGTGATGGAATTAATGTGAGCTTTGGGGGTCAATTTAAATGAAATGTTTGAAAGTATTAACTACTCCCTGGAAAGCAAAGGAATTATTTGTATGTTACAATTCTGGCAGCATTGGCACTATTCATAATATTGTCAGACTCCCTGAGTGGTAGAAAAAAATTGAAATATTGAAGAATTGGGATGGCTGGTGACTGTTCAAACCAAATATAAGACTAAAAGCTAGAATAGAAGGCATCAGAAACCTTGAAAAATTGAGGATCTATTGGTAGTAGAAATATGGTTTACTATATCTTGATGAATTCCAAGAGATCTTTCTGCAAAGAATTGCTTGCCTCAACTACAAGGTAGGGCAAAAGTAGGTTTACAGTTATATATAGGAAAAGCACAATTTATTATTTTTTTTCACGTGATAGAATGATTTATTAGAACTAATTTCATGACAAATCATATAAAATAACCATTCACAATTTATTCTTGTATTATTATTTATTAACTAGAGAGGCCTGGTATACAGATTTGTACACCAGTGGGGTCCCTCTGCCTGACCTGCAGGGATCAGGCTGAAACTGCCTCTCTGATATCCCCTGAGGGGTCTTAGATTGCAAGAGGGCATTTCTGGGGTAACACACCCCAGAATTGGGCTACCTCCTCTCTGGTTCTGGTGTGTCTTTAGCTGCCAAGTCACCACAGCTCAACAGCTTTTGCTTTGAGCGTCTGCCCCCTGGTGGTAAATGCACATCATAGCTACTGGTTGGAGCATCTGCCCCCTGGTGTTTATTGCATGTCATATTATAGTTACCAGTCAGATGTTTGAACAGTTAGTTGCATAGTTGCTTAGGCTTTTATATATATAGATAATTGCTTTATTTTTCATATGAACAAATGCAAACCTACTTTTGATCTACCTTGTATGTGTCAGGCCTAAGTAAATATTCTGGTGGAGACTCAAGCCTAAAAAGCTTTCATCTCTGAAATTATTTCCAGCAACTTGCATGTCCTTGGCCGATGAATCCATTTTGATTTGAAGTTTAGAAAATAATTCACTTTGATGTACTAAATCTTTATTGGTCTCTTTATGGGAAAAATGCTATATTTAGGAGGTAGAGTTTTTCTATGGCTCAGCTTTCCATAGTTAAGATGATTTGAAGACAGTGCTGTAGAACATAGGTAGGCCTTTCTAAGGATCTCTGTCTTTGCTTCAGTTGCAGCAATACCAGTACTATAGCGCAGGCCTGCTCTCCACATATGACCCTTTCTATGAGCAACAACGTCACCTACTTGGACCTAAAAAAAAGAAATTTAAGGAGGAAAAGAAACTTAAAGGTGAGCGTATTGGCCTACCTTCCACATTATCTCATTCTTTGTTTCAGGATTTTGTATGGCTTCCTGATGTATTTTTGCATGTTTGTCAGGAAATGTCCTTTCCTATCTTACTGAGCTCGCAGCAGCTGGAAATCAGGAAGGAAATAGGAAGGGGATGTTAAATTATCTGTAAAGACAGATTTTATTTTCCTTCAAGGTATTAACTCTACTCAGAAAGATTCTTTTCAGCCTTTTCCCCTTCTTTCTCCCACATCCTCCTTATTTATCTCTCTCTCTCTTTTTAAAAAAAAATATATTTTATTGATTTTTTACAGAGAGGAAGAGAGAGAGACAGAGAATTAGAAACATCGATGAGAGAGAGAGAGACATCAACCGGCTGCCTCTTGCACACCCCCCACCGGGGATGTGCCCGCAACCAAGGTACATGCCCTTGACCGGAATCGAACCTGGGACCTTTCAGTCCTCAGGCCGATGCTCTATCCACTGAGCCAAACCGGTTTCGGCTATCTCTGTTTTCTCATTCTTCACACCCTCCCCCTCTAATTAGGTTTCTGTTCCTTGTATAATTTTGTCTTCACAAGTCTTAGCATCATATTAGTTAATGCATTTTTTCTTTCTCTGTTGTTTCTCTTTAGCTACTTTATATTGCTACCCAAGTAGAAATGTTTTCTTCTTTTTGACCCTTACTTGAGCCCCCGATACTTCATAAATTTTCTTTCCTGTTGTTGGGTTCAAAAGAAAGTCAGTTTTATGTTTTATTTTGTGTTTCTCTTTCATGTAAACAAAGGGAGTATCCAGTGTTCTTTTCGAAGGTAGTGAGATCTTCCTCTTGGAAGATTCATGGCCTGAATAGATATACAAATAAACATTGCCAGCTTCCGGTAGAATAAGGAAAGAACCTTGAATTTTCTTAAAGTGATGTGGTTGTTTTGTTGCTGTCTCCTGGGGAAGGGAAGAAATGCAACCTCTGAAAGGCTGTTTCTTTTGTAGCCAAGTTAAAAAAAGTGAAGAAAAAAAGGCGAAGGGATGAAGAACTTTCCTCTGAAGAATCCCCTCGTCGACACCACCACCAGACCAAAGTCTTTGCCAAGTTCTCTCATGATGCACCTCCTCCTGGCATCAAGAAGAAGCACTTATCCATTGAACAGCTTAATGCTCGTCGGAGGAAAGTATGGCTCAGCATTGTGAAAAAGGAACTACCAAAGGTGAGTGAGTGCCTCCAGTGCAGGCAGTAGAAAGAGTATTTTTTTCTGCCTGCCTCTAAAGAGGAGCTGTGAGAGCTAGATGCTTTAACACTTCAAAAAGGAAGCTAATCTGTTGAAATTGAAAGAATGCTGAGTAGTACTCTCGTCAGTTCACTGGTTTTTAGAATTTGATCAGAATTCACAAGACAAATAATTGTGTGATGCTCCTTGGCCTTGAGCATAGTTTTATTACATAGCGCAATAGGAATTGACAGCAAGTAGATAGGTGATAATAGAGGAAATTAAAAAAAAATGGTGGAGATGTTCATTAGAGAATTTATAAACATATGGCTATTAATAATACAGGCATTACGTACTTAACCTTTATGTAAGAAAAGAGTTTCTAATTGTGGCTTAGTATTCAGAACCAATAAAATAAAATATTGGTAAATTTAACTACATAGAATAAATTTTTGCCTGACAAGACAATTGGACTGAAACCGGTTTGACTCAGTGGATAGAGCGTCTGCCTGCGGACTGAAAGGTCCAAGGTTCGATTCCAGTTAAGGGCATGTACCTTGCTTGTGGGCACATCCCCGGTGGGGGGTGTGCAGGAGGCAGCTGATCAATGACTCTCTCTCATGGATGTTTCTAACTCTCTATCCCTCTCTCTTCCTTGCTGTAAAAAATCAATAAAATATATTTAAAAAAAAAAAAAAAAGACAATTGGCAAACTGGTAGAGATTATTTACATTGTATATACCATGGTCAAAAGGCAATTATTGCTAACAATGAATAACCATTAGAATTTGAGGGACAAAGGGCCATAAATTCAGTAGACAAATGGGAAAATTACATGAATAGACAATTTACAAAGAAAGATATAGAAATAGCCTTAAGCTGGCTGCTATGGCTTAGTTGGTTGATTACCAGCCTACACAACAAGGTCATGGGTTTGATTCCTGATCAGGGTACACGCCCAGGTTGCAGGCTCAATTCCCAGTAGTGTGGTGCATATGGGAAGCAACTAATTAATCTCTCTCTTTCTTACTCCATCTACTTTCCTCTCTCTGAAAATAAGTAAAAACTTTTTTTTTTTTTTTATGTTTTTAAAACGCAACGTACATGCCATTGACCGGAATTGAACCTGGGACCTTTCAGCCCACAGACCGACACTCTACCACTGAGCCAAACCGGTTTCAGCAAAACATTTTTCTTTTTTTTAAATAGCCCTCAAACAGTAAAAATGTTTAATAAGTCTCTCTTAATTGGAGTAATAAAAATTAAAATGACACATATAATACAGGCAAAAATTTAAAAATATGACGACATTCTGTTAAGGAGGCTGTGGGGAAATAGGCATTCATACATGGCTGCTAGGAATGCAAATTAGAGAAAAGTGTTCTGGAGGTAAAGTTAGCAGATTATGTTTCAAACCAGCGCTTCCATTTTTTAGGAATCTATCCTGAAACTAAACTTTCAACAGTGCAAAAATTTGTAAGCAAGGTTATTTGTTGGCAGAATTAAACACTGGTGGATCTACACAGTGGGTTATTATGCTGCTGTTAAATGATAGGAATGAGAATGACTTCTCTGAATTGATATGAACAATTTCTAGGACATACTGTAAAGTGAAAAAAAGCAGAACACAAACAAGCATTTAGAACATTTACCTTTCATATAAGAAAAATGTAACATGGAAAACACACAAATACCTACTGATTTGTGCAGAATATAGGTGGAGAAGGATGTATATGTATAAAAAGGAATAAAAAGGAACAAATGAATTCATTGTATTAGAAACTGGAGGCCTGGAGCATGAAATTTGTGCACAGGGTTGGGAGGTGAGGGGTGGCTGGGGCGGGGCGGGGTGGGGGGAAGGGTGTCCCTCAGTCCAGCCCGCACCCTCTCACAGCCAGGGAGCCCTCAGGGGATGGTCCGACCAATGGCTTAGTGCTGCCACCACCACCGCTGCACTCGCCAGCCATGAGCCCAGCTTCTGGCTGAGAGGTGCTCCCCCTGTGATGAGGGAGGCAGTTCCTGTTTTGAGCATCTGCCCCTAGGTAGTCAGTGCGTGTTATTGTGACCAGTTGTTCTGCCGTTCAGTCAATTTGCATATTAGCCTTTTATTATAAAGGGTGAGTACTATGCTTAAGTTGTAGCAACTGGGGAATTTAAAAACTCTCCTAAGAAACAGGAGAACAGAATTTTGACTGAACATGAAAAGCTAAAGACTAAAAGAGCAGTACCTAAATGCCATAATTTACAAAGTAAAAGTGCTTCTCAGGAAAATGAGTTGGCACTATTATTTTTTATTTTTTTAATTATTTTTTTAAATAAACCTTTATTTTTCATATTATTACAAAAGTTCCTCATTTTTTCCCTCCTCCACCAGGTTCTTACCCCACCCTCCGCCCCCTCCCCACCCCCCATTGTCCTCATCCATAGGTGCACAGTTTATGTTCCGTCTTTTCCTGCACCCCTCACTCCTCTTTTCCCTGAGAATCATCAGTCCACTCCCCTTTCATATCTCTGATTCTATTATGTTCAACAGTTACTATTGTTGATCAGGTATTTTAATTCCCTTGGTTTTTAGATTCACTTGTTGATAGTTATGTATTTGTTGTTCATAATTTTTATCTTTATTTTCTTTCTCTTCCGAAAGAATCCCCTTCAGCAATTCATATAATTCTGGTTTGGCGGTGATTAACTCCTTTAGCTTTTTTTTTATTAGTGAAGCTCTTTATCTGGCCTTCGATTCTGAGTGATAGCTTTGCTGGGTAGATTATTTTTGGCTGTATGTTCTTACTATTCATCACCTTAAATATTTATTGCCATTCCCGTCTGGCCTGCATGGTTTCTGTTGAGAAATCAGCTGACAATCGTATGGGTGCTCTTGCTGCTTTTAATATTCTCTCTTTGTCTTTTGCTCTTGGAATTTTAATTATGATTTGTCTTGGTGTGGTCTTCTTTGGATTCCTTTTGTTTGGAGTTCTGTGCGCTTCCTGGACTTGTAGGTCTAATTCTTTCACCAGGTGGGGGAAGTTTTCTGTCACTATTTCTTTCAGTATGTTTTCAGTATCTTGCTCTCTCTCATCTTCTGGGACCCCCATAATTCTGATGTTGGTTCGCTTGAAGTTATCCCAGAGGTTTCTTACATTATCTTCAACTTTCTGGATCCTCTTGTCTTCTTGCTTCTGTGGAGGGGTATCTTCTGGCTCTTTATGTTACAAATCTTTGACTTGATTCTTGTGATCTTCCATTCTGTTTTTAAGACACTGTATAATATTTTTTATTTCAGACAATGTATTCTTTATTTCTTGTTGATCCCTTATTGTTTCTAGTTGATCCCTTTTCATATCCTCATAGGTCTTGACCTTTTCTAGGAAATTCTTGAAAAACCTTATAAGCGTAGATTTGAACTCTATATCCAGTCGCTTTTTGTCCTCCATTTCTTTCGTTTGTGATCTATTTTGTTGTGTCGGCATTTTCGCAGCTTCTCTGAGTTGGTAGCCTTAAAAGTCTCTATGTTCAGCTTGGATGGGGCCGAGTTTCAGGGTGGAGCCTACAGCCTTGGCTTCTGTCAGCCACGCCCTATGAGGGTCCTGAGTCTCAGTATTCCTCAGGGTCCTTCAGTACTCGTTAAAAACACCTCTAAGAGAAAGGTGCTTTCGAGTTTCGCCCACTACCAAACAGTCTAGGCTCTCCCCAATGAGCCTGGAACTGGGGTTCAGTTCAGTTGGAAGTGGGATTGGAAGTGGGGTTCAGAGCAGTCTGGAGCTTTTGTCTCCTTCCCGCCAGGGCAATCCAGCAGCACAGTCAACTGCCCGTTCTCTGCGCATAATGTGTGCCCCTCTGGGGGCTCTGTCTTTTGTCACTCCCCTGAGATTCCGCCTTACAGCCCAGGCTCCCTCTGTATGAGCCTGGGTCCCCAGGGTCTGGCCTAGAACTGGGGTTCAGTGCTGTCGGATCTGGGGTTCAATACAGTCCGGAGCTTTTATCTCCTTCCCGCTAGGGAACGCCAGCCAGGCTCTCAGCCATCCCTTCCTCTCTGGCTCTGTTCTTTCCGTGCGCGCAGCATGTCTCCGTACCTTAGGCTTTTACAGCTCCTACACTCTTCCTTCTGGTTTTCTCTTTCCTTCTCGTTGTAGAATTTTCAGTCAGTCGACTTTCCTGTAGTTCTGGGTAATGTCCATTCTGTATTTTATTGAAATTGTTGTGTGAGACTGCAGTTAGGTGTTACCTATGCCGCCATCTTGGATTCTCCTCATGAGTTGGCACTTTTAAAACTACTTTATGTATATACCGGAAGCCCAATTCATGAAATTCGTGCATGGAGGTGGGGGTCAAGGAGGGTCTCCTCAGCCTGGTCTGCAGCTTCTCCAATCCAGTACCCCTTGGGGGATGTCCGACTGCCTCTCACAATATGGGACTCCTTGCCTGCCTGATCACCCTTAACCACCTCTGCCTGGCTGATCATCCTTCACCACCTCTGCCTGCCTGCCTGATCACCCCTAACCGCCTCTACCTCACCCTGCACTTGGGACCCAGAATTCCCTCCTCTGGCCAGTTGCAGACACTTAGGCCCCGGGCCACAGCTGCAGGCATCCGGTCCGTGGGGTGGGTGGCTTGTCCTCTGCCAGCCACAGGCGTAGCTACTGGAGCCCAGGACCAGGGGTGGGCAGCTTATCCCTCTCCCAGGCCACAGCCTGGCTGGTCCCATGCCTCTCCCTGGTGTTTAGTGTCTGAGCCATTATGGCATGATGGCATTTGCATATTAACTCTTTATTATAAAGGATTAGGATTGAACAAATAAATACATTGTAGATGAGAGCCAGTTTATCACTGTTGAAAAATGAAGTTGTAAGCAAGGGGGGGAGGACTAAAATGAAGCTTGTTAAGTTTGATTTGAAATTCATGTTTTTTCATATATACATAGATACATTTAGAAATATATTTGGCTGTGTGTGCATGGACTAATATGCATTTTTTCCCTACTTTGTTTGTTGAGAGGGCCTAGT